TCTGCACTCTTGTTGCCACATATGCATACATTGCCCGGGACCCAGCATTGAGTGTTACAGTTACAGTGTTGAGTGTGGGAAGTTTGCAAAGGGCGTTGAAACACTTCCAGAATAGCTTTGAAGTGACCTCTTTTGAGTCAAGATCTTTAAGAGCAGCCTGACAATCAGAAAAACCACTATCTTCTTGTAGTGGTAGCATCTAGCTAGTCCTAGGTTGGCACACAAGACAAGATGCCAAATATCTCTGCCTGGAAGATGGTACAGTATCGTCCCAGAATGGCAGAACGTTCTTTTCTGGGCTAATGGCTCCGGTTTTATACTCCGAAGCCTGATTTCGATCGATGTAGCCGTCTGTAGCTATGTACCAGACGAAGCTTTCTGTTGTTTGGATTTTCCCTTCCTTCCTGTTTCCACTCATCCCTGGAGCCGAATCCAACAGTGAAGGGTTTGGTGAAAATTGCCTCTGTGCTAAGGGCATCTGAAGTCATGTCAAGCAGAGGACACGCAGCCACAGTTTTGGCAACGGCAAAGTAGCCTCCCCCAGAAAGGCCCCTCCATAGATGTGCAACCTTCAAACAGTCGGCTTCCTTGAGGGCTTCAGATTTTATGATGATGTGCACTGTGCACTGGTAGAAGCCCAAGAGCGACTTCTAGATTTTCTGATGACGACTGCACCTGAATGCACTAGTGGATTGAACGACTTAGACTTATGAAGCGTACGTACCAAGCCTTTGCAGACTTTCTTAATTTTTGCTGTGACAGTTACAGTGGCTATATTATGTTTATTATGAAATTTTAATTTGATCAAATTATCAATTTTATCGATCAAAATTATCTAACTTTCACTATATCTGAGTTAAAAAAGCGTCTCAATATTCTCTATCCAAATCGGTTTTGTAACGAACGAAACACCCGACCTCATCACCACAGTCCTCCTTCGGTTTCTTGGTATCAGGAGAACAGATCTGTCCAACAGTTAATGCTGTATACAGGTACAGCACTGTTTTATAGTGTAGAAATTATACAAAAATGTGGCCATACATGTACCGTAGTTGTAAACATTTAACATTTACAACATGGTAAACCATATTAAAATGTGTATAAACAATTTCACTCTGTCTTTGACAATAGAAATGAGCTACGTCATGAAAAAGTCACATAAACACGTTTCCGACAATAAAATCCATATATACTATACATAAGGGAATTCCATAGGGGTGTATTTAATTTAATTTAATTTTTATAGTAAAACAGTTACTTTTAGTAACTAATTACTAATTAGATTAAGTTACAAATTAGTTTTTAGTCGATAGTTGCATAAAGCCACACTTAAATAAGGGCTTTAAATAAGGGTGGGCATTAATTGCTCCAACTGACCTGAGTCAGGTTGTCGGGTATTCCTGAATTGCGCCAACTACTCTGGGGAGCCACCCGATAAGTTCATTAACTGGGCTGCATATGTGGCGGTTAGGTTAGGTTAGTTTAGTGTAGGATTAGGATGACGTGTAAACAATGCCATTCATTCTGCCGGCAACTCACCCCTTCCTGGCTTGGGTTTGGTATTATAAGAAAAACATTTTGGGACTCTTTGAAGGCTTGGCGCAATTTAGGAACTGTTTGGCGGAGTTAATGTACGACCTTAAATAAAGGCTTAATCTTCTTTAGTAAACCGGTGTCAAAAATGTATGTATTGAGTTTTATAAATTAAATATGATCTTGCTTTGCTCGAGCTATAAACAAAATACCAAGAGTAGTTGGTTCTAATAATCAAATTCGTATCGATTAATGTTCTGAAAATATAAACCTTTATATAAAGGGAGTCCATAAACACATTTTAGAACTTAAAGATATGTATCCTCATACCAAAATAAAAAAGGTTAATCTGAAGGTATGTGTAAAATGCATATTATTTATCCAGGTATCCACCATTTTGTTTTTTATACAATAAAACTGTATCTTTGAAGTTGTTTAACCAATCATTATTAAACTTGGTATGTAGTATATATTTTAGCCAAAAGACGTAGGCCTATGTTAGAAAAAACAAGATTTAGTTGGTTAGTTTTGATATATTAAAATGGTAGCCGTTTAATCTTTGTAATTAAATTACAAAAATTGCTAATCTTATTAAAAAATGTCTAGAATGCTTTTATTTAGCATTTATAAATTCCTATTCCACGACAATTGGATAAAAAAGATCGAACAACAAACAGCTGAAATACAGTATCACATTTTGTTGCATTAAGGGTAGGCCTAGTCAGGCTACACCTTAGTTTTGTCATATACCAATTACAACTAAAAAACGTAACATTCCAATTGTTTGTTATTCAATCTTTTTGATCCCGGTGCCGTTTAATGCCGTTCCAATGCTAAATAAAAGTCTTCAGACATGTTGACATGTTTTAGTAAAATTAGCCATTTTAAAGTAATTTAATCGTAAAAATTAAATCTGCCGCAATTTTGAACTTTACTTTTTACCTAAAATAGTTTTTTATAACAATAATATACAATAAGTTTCATAAAGATCGGTCGAAAAACTTCAAAGATAAAAATGTTTGAAAAACAAAATGGAGTACTGTATATCTGTTAGTTGTATTACTGTTCTATGTACACTGTATTGTTGCTTTATAAAACTACGTACATAGCCTATAGAAATTTAAATAAAATAACTTATGTGCTGCCACTGGGGTAATGGCAAGGTGGTTTTCCCCCGTATCAATTACTATTAAAAAATATAAAATATTTAAAAAAAATGTTCTAGGATCTCGATTTAGACACATGATATAGAAAGATCGCGGGACAGGCAGAGAGAGCACAACAGCACAAGGTCCAACACGAGTGAACTCCCATCGTCGTGGCGTGGACTTAGTTCCTTTTTGCTCAATTGTTATTAGGAGAGTAGAAAGTTCTAGCAGTCTTCACTGTTCGACAGTTCTGAACCGCAGCACTACTGTACTTTTAATATCATTTATAATTAAAGTCCTTCCATTTTTGGCTGCCTCCTCACTCTACAGTACTACAGTACTATACTAATATCATTGTCTATACCTGTAACTTCCATTAGACTGCCATTTCACATGCACTTATTTTGAATCCCTTTCAGTTTACTCTATTCTGCTGCCCTGTTCCCGCCAAATGCACTGTGGCACCCGCCATCGCACACTCCGTCGTCTGCTTTATGCAACAATTGACCAACGTGGTACAAATTCATGCGTATATAATAATATGTTCAAGACTAAAATTTCTCTATAAACATAAATCAAATCAGATATTTAACAGTTGGCTCACGCAGATTTAATGTTACAAGTGCCAAGATAACACAGTACTCCCTATCCCGTCCAATTTTTAGGTAGGCTACACGTAACTTCTTTTAAAATTGTCCTAGCAACCTGAAATTTTCACACATTGTCTAACACACCTTTCAAACAATACTAGCAACCAGTTTTGTTCTAATGTCAAAACTATTTTATTTGTGCATTAAAAAAACAATTTTTTATCCAGTTTTTACATTTTTTAAATATTTATAACTTGGGATGTATCAATAAAATTGTAATTTCCCTTCCAATTACTATTTTTTTAATATACACGGAGAGTCTGTACAAAATTACATTAAAATCAATTTATTAATGTGTCTGAAAAATGTACTTGACGGGGAAAAAATAAAATTTTCGGTAGATCAGATATAAAAAAAAAACCTTTGTCTATGGTGGGTGACGACTATATCATAAAAATTGTTATTGTGAACCGGAAAACACTATTGAGGGTGATGGGAGGTATAAAATAAACTAGCATGATGGATCTTGCGGGCTACCAAATAAACTCCAGCAATGAATCAAATCGGCTCTGCAAAACTGATGTTGTCCAACATTCAGATACGCGGTATTGGCGTCCCATGATTTCCACTACTATTAGGGGAGAAGAGACTAGAAGAAAGCTCTCAAGTGGACTCCGCTTATTATCAAACTGTAAACATTTTTTCACTTAGTATATTAGGTGTTTTTCCATGATTATATAATACACAGTGAAGAAATACATGAGACAAACAAATTCCTAAGGACCTTCTAAATGATCAAAAAATTAATCATAATACTGCATTTGAAACACGCTTCACGCCCAACTCAGTATTTGACAGAAATTAGTGTTCATTTAGTTACAAAGAAGGTTTTGTAAGACGGACTGAATCTCAGCCCCCTAAAAAGATAAATTTTCTATTTCATAATTAATTTTTGTTACGATGGCAAGAGTAAAAAAATAACGTTTATTATGTAATTTTAGTGTTATATCAACAAATAGTTACAGAGAACGCATTAAAGTTTAGTGCTCTTCGTGAACGTGTTAAGAACAAAATAGTGTAAATTTCACTATCACTGATTTTTATTGTATTGTATTGTGAGAGAGGTGGACTCAGGGCCCTAGCACGTCTACCGAAGCTTATTATCTCAATTGCCACTAATTGGGTAAGCCTATACCCATGTCCTTGGCCAGGTGCACGAGATGTTGTCCATCGTTAGCGTCTGATTCATCACCAGGCTGCTTTTGATCAAACATGACCCTCCTACTTCTAAGTCTACGGCAGTCCAGAATAATGTGATGGCCTTTTCACCCCGGCGTCCTGGACGTCCACGAAGGTCTAGTGCAGAGATAGATTTTTCTGAAACGTCCGTGGCGTCCATGTCTTCCTCGCCGTTTGGAAACTTCTACTGGTTAAAGCACACTACAGGCATAGAATAAATAAAACACATGAACAAATAAATAAATATGCACACCATCATAACACTTCATCTATGCTACAGGTGCCGTCGACGCCGTCGCGCCTCGCACACTCAGTTGTTGATCGACAGACTAGAGTGATAGTGCAGCGTGTCTTTTTAGTCAATGTTGTAGGACCATGTCCTCTTCTGCCTGCAACAGTGAGTACTGTATGAATAACATTTACTATTTTACATAGCTTGCTGCCTCTCGACAGTCGACATAAACATATTTTTAATATTTTTCAGTTTACTCTATTCTGCTGCCCTGTTCCCGCCAAATGCACTGTGGAACCTGCCATCGCCACCCCATAGTCTGTCGTCTGCTTTCTGTAACAATTGACCAACTTGGACAGTCAGTAAATTACAATCTTTTATCTTCATAATTTTATATGTTTCTAGACTAAAGTTTCTCCATAAACATAAATCACATCAGACAATTAACAGTTGATCCACAAAGATTTAATCTTACTCTTACAAGTAGCCTACCAAGGTAACACAGTCCTCCCTATCCCGTCCATGTTAATCTTACCATTTTTAGGTACAACTTTTTTGAAGTTGTAACAAATTCTTTACAAATCATCCAGGCAACCTGATATTTTTATACGTTGTCTAAGACACCTTTTTCAACAATACTATGAACCACTTTTGTTGTTAGGTCTAAAATATTTAATTTGTAATTTTTTCTAAAAACATAAAATATTTCCTTAAAATGATTTTAACTTGGGATGTATCAATAATTATGTAATTTCACTTCCTATTATTATTTGTTAATACTGTATACACAGAAGGTCTGTATAAAATGTCATTAAAATTGGTTCATAAATGTGTCTAAAAAATGTACCGGACGGGAAAAACTTATTTTTCTGTAAATCGCATTGAAGCCTTACTCCAGGTAACTATATCATACAACCGTTTATTAATAACACTATTGAGGTCGAGGGGGATATAAAATAAACTTGCATGATGGTATTACGGACATAGTTTGATCTTGCAGTCCATACCAAATAAACTCCTGGAAATGGAATCGTCTGCATACCACCAGTCTAACGAACCGAGCTTGGAGATACGCCCTTTTGACGTCCCATGATTTCCACTAGTATCAGGGAAGAAGAAACTAGAAGGATTCTCACAAGAGTAGTCCTCTGAATAACTAACTTACTTTGACAGTCAACTATTTCATTATTTAGTGCTGTTTTCAATTATTGTATTTGATCTTGATGGATCTTGATGTAAAGAATAAGTAAACTGCTGTAGTTTGCTTGTTTATGCATATTGTATTTAGATCAAACTTGGCCAATCTATTTATTATATACTAAGCTATTAATATTTTACTTAAAAACACACTTTATTACCCTCCCTGTAAGCAGCAAACCTAGGTACTCCTGGTACTCGTTAAACCCAAATATTATTTGAAAATATTTAATTGAAAATCAATTCAGGCAAATGGAAATTCGCTTAGTCTGCAGGTTTGCTGCGGCAGGGGTATTATTATTTTATGGCTAATTTCACGATTTGTGTTTTTGTGCTGTTTGGTTATACAGTACAGGGTATACTAAAAAAAGGTGGGACACAATTTACGTAGTGGTCTCTTGTATCAAAATAAAGTGAAAATCAAGAATACAACTTTTTTCAAAATCGTTTCGTTAATCAGATATCCGCCATTTTGTATTTTTTACATAAACAATTATCTTTGAATTGTCTCATCAAATTTTTATCAAACTTGGTACGTAGGCCTGTGTGTTAAATTAGAAGAGACCCATCTTAGAAAAAAGTTACTTTGGTCCAATCTAAAATTTCTAAATGGTGGTCATTTTAAATTAAAATTGAAAACAAACTGTTTCAGTTTTCCACAGTTTTGATCGTGGTGCTTTTGATGGAAATGGACGGAACGTGTTCGTAAATTAAATCTACCCGTAGTTTGGAACTAAAACATCATGCACGAAACATTATTATAAAACATTAATCTTGGAGCAAGAAAATACGTATTGTCTAAAGGTGACGATTTTCAAACAAGTCTATAAAAGTACATCTGACTTCCCAAACAAAATTAAATATTCATTATACGCAACGCAAAGTAAGTTAACAATTATATATTGTCCTATATTCCAATTACGCGTCAGATTTCGAGTACCGTATCTGTGTATTCAATTCAAAATCCTATTAAACTTGTGTTTCAAATTGGTTACTTCAATGGCCAATCACAATTTATGACTTAACGCCCTTTCCTTCAATTGTTAGGCTGCAATATGATAATGGTAATACAGTACTTTCAAACCATAGATTATGAGGAATAGGGTGGAAATTTAAGCTTGATTATTATTATCTTTTTAGCTATTCCAGTTTTTAAGTTATAATTAATTGAATATAAATTCGTTATAAGAAAAAAGTCTGTTAGAGTATGAGTGAATCAGCGGACTGCACTTGTGAGTTTCCTTCTGGTCTCTTCTCCCCTGATACTAGTGGAAATCATGGGACGCCAATACCGCCTATCTCCAGGCTCGTTTGACAACCAATAGGTTTTGCAGAAGTACAGTATTCATTGCTAGTTTATTGGTATGGCCTGAGGAGTCCGGATAAGTGAGAGTCTACTGTAGAAAGGAGATTAGTGAAATATGAAAAACTGTGATTAATTTTGACATCTACTTTCTTTAGGACCGACCCACACCAACCAACCGACTTTGAATATTGAAAGTAGACTTGTGAAATAATTAAACACTGTAAATAGTTTGGAGAGTTTAGTTTGCTAGCAGTTGGGTAGTTTTGCACTACTACTGTAAAACCATCGTTCTTGGACGAAACCATCGTTTTTGGATGATGAAAGGAGGCTAGTGTCTTATACAAACAATTATTGTTAACAACACACAGTACAAACAATTATCACAATTATAAACAATTATAATTGTTGGTACAAACAATTATTGTTTGTACCGTAATAGAAAAGTTTGCAATATTATGACCATGTTGCTTGCTATACATACATACTGTATCATACGTATTTGGTGAACTTGTGTTTCGGATTACTAAGTAATCAAGTAAAAACGCCCCCAATGGACAAGTGTTTTTATTCTACAGTTTGTAAATAAAATAACTATTAAACGAAAGAAACATTGCTGGTGAACTGGTGAACGGACGACATACGAGGTTTTCGCGTCCCATGATTCCCACTAGTATCAGGGGAGAAGAGACAAGGCGAGAACTTTTAAAAAGTCTGTGGATTAATACGTATCAATCAAGGCCCATTTCAAACGATCCGGCGCGCGCCATGCGGCCCAACGACCTAGGCAAACTACACCAAGAGAGTGGAATATGTATATCAGAATTTATACATCGTTTTATCAGAAAATAATATATTTAAAGTGATCATATACCATATATTTTCATGTCTGTTCACTGCAAATCGTTCAACTTTAAGTATTAAACAAACTTTTCCCTTATAACTAAAAGACAATACTGTATTTAGTTTTAAATTACCAATTGATACGCAATGAAAGATTTTGATTTGATACTTAACCTAAAAACGCCAAAACTGTTAAGTTTCATTTCAATAATAGGTGTGATTCAGTTTCTCATGTTTGTATCTTCTTTTTGAAGCTTCTCTTTAAGTTTGTTATGAAGTTCATCAAATGACTTGATCGACATGAGAAAGTAAGAAAAGAATATTTCTTCACTGTTGCGTGTATTGGCTGAAAAACACTCTGAAAGCCCCAGAATCGTGCCGATTATTGAGTAATAGGTGAGTGGTAAGTAACATCACCTATTATTTTTTCTTCTCCATAACAAGTACATGGCTAAGACTGTCTTCTGCCGTGATGTAAACATTGCAACCACTGAGCCACAACAGAATAAATAATAATAATTATAGAGTGCCGTGCGGCGCGCGCCGGACGAACCCGTCCTCGTAGACACACGTGTGAAAGTATAAATAACATTGACTATAATATAACACTAGTGTTATAGCACTAGTGTATGATGAATACTCTTGTTGTATTCATATTATCAATAATATTATATTGATAACATGTATATAAACAGTTAAAAACTCATGAGTTCACCAATGTCACAGTCACCTAGTATCTTATTATTTTTAACATTCTAAGTACATCAATTCCAGTATTTTGTAATACATTGTGTTTATTACAATGTGTGGTTAACTACTTCTACCTAGGTAGCTACTGCTTACTTTCAAGTTAAAGCTAATCTTTTGCATTTTATTTTAGACTAGGATTACGATAACCCGGAGCTCCTAATCCACCTGATATAGGCCTACGTTTTAAGTATATATTGACACATCAGTCAACAAAAGACCGAAATAGAGAGTTAGTAGTTTATTTTAATTTTCTATTTTAAAACATTTGCAAAATGGCTGGAAATACAAATAACAAACTCTGCAAACTAGACAGTTATCTTCACAAATATATCGTCCTGACACTTTAAAAGTTGGTAAAATAACCTTTGTCAAACGTCTAGGAGGCCTGGACGGCGAGAGAGAGGACTCGGGAGATACGAGGTTTTGGTGTCCCATCGCTTCCACTAGTATCAGGGAAGCAGAGACGTGGTACAACTTACCAACGTAGGCTGCCGATATTAATATCCTACATTGATAGCATAGAATAGATAAAATTCTGGCGACCCATCTATTGCATGGAGTCGCCGGAATTTTATCCCCCTGGAATTTTACCCTCTGGGCAAATCTGACGTCACTATGACGTAGTAACTTAAGCGCTCTAAAGTTTGTTTGCGGGCGGAATTTTACCCCCACGGATTTAGAAGTCCAATGAAAATAGACAGAGTGTGATAAATTAGATTAGCAATAAAAACTGGAATTTTAACCCCTGACCATATAACTAGCGTTTAGGCAACTGTAGATAAACGGCCCGGATTTTTACCCCCGGAATTTTACCCCCCAGAATTTTACCCCCTGACCAGATATAGAAATTATAAGGAATAATTAATTTTCTTCTTTCAGTTTTAATTTAATATCAAACATTTTATTATTAAGGAGCCTATCTTAATTTATTTTTTATCTCAACTAAGTAAACAGGGTTCGCTGTTTACTTTTGATATACGGGATTTGGATTTGAGGCCAACTGTTGGATAATATGTATGTATAATAAACTGACTATCTCATTTAAATAATAATTGGGTGAACATTTCATAAACGATTTATTATACCACCGTCGAAAATAAATTATTTCGTTTCTGTTGTACAATAACACAATATGCCTTTTTGTTTCTTCAGGCTCAAACCATGAACTATTTAGGGTTTGTACTGGGGAAGGTCATCAAAATACCTGTTATTAAATGTAGTTGTAGGCATCCGGTAAACATTATTCGATCAATTAATTGTTGTATTGACTACTCTACTGCAAGGAAACCCAAATGTTTGTATGTACATATTAACTAACAGTTAGCCCCAAAAATCAAATCCCAAAACTCGAATATTAAAATTAAAATTCAAAACCTGTTTGATTAGTTAAGGTTACAAATAGGTACAAATAAGGTTATAGAGAAAAACTACTTAATATTAAAATGTATACTATTAAATTAAAACTTAAAAGAGAAAATTTTTAATCCTAACTTATTTATATATCTAGCCAGGGGGTAAAATTCAAAAACAACACAATCAATTACAACGACACGTCATGCGACTAGAGAGATTTAGTGTAATGAGCTGTAAAGGAAAAATTGTTTATGGTTAGTGGGATAGCCAACATATTAATGACCTACAACATACTGTATACAATTAATTGTTGTAGATTAATACTACATCAATGCTTAAACATGGGAACCCGGAACATTGACCTTAATTAATAGAATTGGTTTGGAATTAGCAAAGTAACCTTGTTAGGATGAGGTATGTTCAGTACGTCACGCAAAACCACCGGTGTAACTAAATTAACACGAATTCCTGTAAAAATACAGTATTTGATATTAGGCGTGAAGCGTGTTTCAAATAAAAAGATCAATTTCAATTTTTTCATTATTAACGTCCTTAATCATTTTTTGGCCTTATGTATTTCTTCCCTGTGGGCACAATAGTAAAATAAAAATATACATCAAGATAAAATACATAAGTGAAAAAATGCACTAAATAATGGAATACAGTAGTTGACTGTCAAAGTAAGTTAGTAAGTATTCAGAGGACTACACTTGTGAGAATCCTTCTAGTTTCTTCTTCCCTGATACTAGTGGAAATCATGGGACGTCAAAAGGGCGTATCTCCAAGCTCCGTTCGTTAGACTTCTGTTTTCCAGACGATTCCATTTTCAGGCGTTTATTTGGTATGGACTGCAAGATCAAACTATGTCCGTAAAACCATCATGCAAGTTTGTTTTATACCCCCCTTGTCCTCAATTGTGTTTTTAATAAACAGTTGTATGATATAGTCACCTACCATGGAATAAGTAAAGGCTTCAATGCAATTTACAGAAAATTAAGTTTTACCCGTCCGGTACATTTTTTAGACACATTTATAAACCAATTTTAATGAAATTTGTTACAGACCTTCTGTGTATATTAACAAATAATAATAGGAAGTGAAATTACAAAATTATTGATACATTCCAAGTTAGAGGCCCTAATAATTTTTTAAAATTTAAAAACTCAATGAGATATTTTTGTTTGTAAGAAAAAATTACAAATAAAATAGTTTTGACCTTAGAACAAAAGTGGTTCATAGTATTGTTGAAAAAGGCGTCTTAGACAATTTATAAAAATTTTAGGTTGCCTGGGTAATTTGTAAGGAAGTTAAGTGTACCTAAAAATGGCAAAATTAACATGGACGGGATGGGGAAATCTGTGTTACCTTGGCAGGCTACTTGAAAGATTAAATCTGTGTGGGCCAACGGTTAAATGTCTGATTTGATTTATGTTTGAGGAGATATTTTTGCCTTGGTATTAACGAATTGGTCTAATTATCAGGATAACACTGCGTATAGGGATAGTCGTAGTTCGTATACTAGATACTCGATAGCGATACTTGATAGTTCGATAGCGTATACTAGTGCGGACGTTCATCCACACTACTCACCAGGGAGTATATAACAGGGTGTCTACCGACCGGAAAATTCGGGAATCATGCGTTAGTTTTTTTTAACCAGGAAATAATTATGAGTATATTTTGTATTTATACCTGGAATTTTCAATTTTCCGCGATCGCGCATGACAGCAGTGACGTTTGCGTAACCGTGGGAGAGGGGGGGACGATAATGTGTCTACAACACGACGCGAGAGATTATCAGAATATGCCGCGATCACTGAAGACGATGATACCATAGATGAAGTAATATTAATCATCTTCATCTATGATGTTACTGTACACACGACCGCGGGGAAAGATCAGCATCTTGTCTCATTCGCAGTAGACGACGATGGTAAAGCGACAACAGGACTGAATCTGACCTGGGCTAGCCTGAGCCTCATGGAGCAGTCATGCGGCATTTTCCGAGGGAGCGACACATAGATTAATGTTATTATTATCTGGAGCGACATTAGGACTTTATGGAACTTCCCCGTTCTCCCTGCCTAATTCCCACCTCCCTATTCCCGGACACATAGTGAACTATTGGGATCGACTCATGGAATCGTTCATGGAAATATCTACTCCGTGTAAATTTGTCAGCACTTGAATTCCACACAAACCATCAATAATGCTTAATAATGCCTGAAAGTTGCATTACAATCTGTCGAGCGGTTTCGGAGTCCATAAAGGACAAACAAACATACATACAAACAAACATACATTGGATTTTATATACTGTAGATAATATTGTACTAAACATTTTATGGTCTGAGATTAGGTTAGGTTAAGTTAGGTTGGTTTAGGATGTGTTAGGTAGGATAGGACATCTCTGTCTTGATCTGAAAAATTATTCCGCACAGTTATGTTTGATCTCTTCGAAAACACGATGCAACAATTTGGTGAATAGCCGACGACGATAATCCTCACGACCGTGGGATATGTTTATATATTTTTGCAATCGTGGAAGACGATGATTATGTCTACACAACCACAGAAAATAGTCAGACTTTTTCCGTGATCATGGGACGCTTACGATTTCTATACGGCCAAGGGAGACGAAAATTATGCCTACATGGCCACGAGGGGTTATCAGAAGTTAACCGCAACCGCATGCTAGGGCAACCGCATTATTTTTTTATTTTCCATTTTTTTGTTGCCCCTCCCCAAAAAAGGCAACTGCCTCGTGCCCTTGGCACGTGCCTACCTACTGCCCTGCACTGGACCAAGGCTGTTCTAGGACCATGTCCTCTTCTGCCTGCGACAGTACTGTAGTACTGAGTGCAGACCTAAACACAGTACAGTACAACCCACGATTACTAGAAAAATACTATTTTAATTTACATAACTTGCATAAGCTGCCCCTCAACGCTCTCGACTTACACGTATTTTCAATATTTTTCAGTTTACTCTATTCTGCTGCCCTGTTCCCGCCAAATGCACTGTGGAACCCGCCATCGCATACACTGAGTCTGTCGTCCCTGCAACAATTGACCAACTTGAGCAGTCGGTAAATCTACACTCCAATCTTTTATCTTCATAATTTTATACATTGTGTTCTAGACTAAAATTTCTCCTTAAACATAAATCAAATCAGACATTTAACCGTTGACCCACACAGATTTAATCTTGCAAGTAGCCTGCCAAGGTACAATTGTAACACAGTTCCGTATCAGGTCCATGTTTTAGTTAGAAAATATAAATAAAATTAGAAGCTTTAACATTTAAAGTTCGGAAGTTTATTTACAATTCAACTCAAGACTAAAACATAAACATGACTGATATTGTTTACCTCCAACTAACATATGATACATTTAACATATGATAATATGTGAATATAACATTATAATACAGTCCATGTTAATTTTACCATTTTTAGGTACACTTAACTTCTTTACAAATAATCCAGGCAACCTGAAATTGTTATATATTGTCTAACACACCTTTTTCAACAATACTATGAACCACTTTTGTTCTCAGGTCAAAAACATTTTATTGTAAATTTTTCTAAAAAACATAAATATTTCATTGAGTTTTTAAATTTTAAAAATTATTATAACTTGGGATGTATCAATAATTTCGTAATTTCACTTCCTATTATTATTTGTTAATATACACAGAAGGCCTGTAAAAAATGACATTAAAATTGGTTCATAAATGTGTCTAAAAAATGTACCGGACGGGAAAACTTAATTTTCTGTGGTGGGCGACTATATCATACAACTGTTTATTAAAAAGACAATTGAGGACGAGGGGAGGTATAAAACAAACTTGCATGATGGTTTTACGGACATAAAACCAATTTGATCTTGCAGTCCATACCAAATAAACGCCTGAAAATGGAATCGTCTGCAAAACAGTCGGTGGAGCTTGGAGATACGCCCTTTTGTCGTACCATGATTTCCACTAGTATCAGGGGAGAAGAAACTAGAAGGATTCTCACAAGTGTAGTCCTCTGAATACTTACTAACTTACTTTGACAGTTAACTATATCAGTGCTTTTTTCACTTATGTATTTGATCTTGATGTATATTTTTATTTTACGATTGTGTTCACTGAGGAGAAATACATAAGGCCAAAAAAGGCTTAAGCACGTTTATAATGAAAAAAATTGAAATTGATCTTTTTATTTGAAACACACTTCACGCCTAATATCAAATACTGTATTTTAAAGGAATTCATGTTAATTTAGTTAACCGATGGTTTTGCGTGACGTACTGAATATACCTCATCCTAACAAGGTTACTTTGCTAATTCCAAACCGATTTTATTAGTTAAGGCCAATGTTCCGGGTTCCCATGTTTAAGCATTGATGTAGTAATAATCTACAACAATTAATTGTATACAGTATGTTGTAGGTCATTAACATGTTGGCTATCCCACTAACTATAAACATTTTTTACTTACAGCTGATTACTAGTCGCATGACGTGTAGTTTTGTTTAAAACATGTGTTGTTCGTGTCGTTGCGGTACGATGTATTTTCATGTTACTACGTACAGTGTTTACACGTTTCCATTTGTCGTTAGTAATCTGAATCATATAGTATAGTGATCGTGAGTGTGTTTTAGCAGACATTTAGGCATACTAAAAGGAATTAGTTTTAAGTGACTTATTCAGTGATATTTTCAAAAAGGTTTTCCTGTGACAACATGCATCTTGGTTCTGATGGTTCACTGAAGTATTCTGGTAAGTATTTTAAATACTTATCCCTAGTATAGAATACAGTAGTCCGTAGTAGCATTGACTATATAACACTAAGACAATGGTTAGTAGTTAGTTTATCTATTCAATGCTATCAATGTAACTATCGGCAGCCTACATTAGTAAATTGTACCACGTCTCTGCTTCCCTGATACTTGTGGAAGTGATGGGACACCAAAACCTCGTATCTCCCGAGTCCTCTCTCTCGCCGTCTCCCGTCCGACCTCCTAGACGTTTGACAGAAAGGCTATTTTACCAACTTTTAAAGTGTCACGACGATCTATTTGTGAACATAACTGTCTAGTTTGCAAAGTGCGTTTTATTTGTATTTTCAGCCATTTTGCAAATTTTTTAAAATAGAAAATTAAATTGAACAACTAACTGTCTATTTCGGTCTTAAGTTGGCTGGTGTGTCAATCAAATACTTAAAACGTAGGCCTATACTAGGTGGATCAGCAGCTCGGGGTTATCGTACCTAATCCTAGTCTAAAATAAAATGCAAAAGATTAGCTTGAAAGTATGCAGTAGATACCTAGGTAGAAGTAGTTAACCATACTATGTAATAAACACAATTTATTACAAAATACAGTACTGGAATTGATGTACTTATAGCTTGTTAAAAATAATAAGATACTAGGTGAAGGTGACTTTGAACGCACAGTTTTTAACTTATTATATACATGTACAATTTAATATTATTGATAATATGAATACAACAAGAGTAGTCATACTTTCACACGTGTGTCTACACACAGAGATGCGCGTGTCTACATGGTGTCTACACACGAGGACGGGTTCGTCCGATGCGCGCGACGCACGGCACTCTATAATTATTATTTATTCTGTTGTGGCTCAGTGGTTGCAATGTTAACATCATGACAGAAATAAGTTTTAGCCATGTACTTGTTATGGAGAAGAAGAAAAGAAGAAGAAGATGATGTTGATGTTCACCTATTATGTTGGGTGTGATTGGGTGTGATTGGGTGGGTATTATGTGTGTATGATGTTGGGTTCACCTATTACAGTACTCAATAATCGGCACGATTCTGGGGCTTTCAGAGTGTTATTCAGCCAATACACGCAACAGTGAAGAAAGATTCTTTTCTTACTTTCTCATGACGATCAAGTAATTTGACGAACTTCATAACAAACTTAAAGAGAAGCTTCAAAGAGAAGATACAAACATGAGAAACTGAATCACACATACTGAAATGAAACGTTCTGGCGTCTTTGGGTTAAGTCCAAAAACAAAATGTTTCATTGCGTATCAATTAGTTAGTAATTTGACATTAAATACTCTCCTTTGACATTCAACTATTTCATTACTTAGTGCTTTTTTACAATGTATTAGTAAATTGATCTTTTTATTTGAAACACGTTTCACCCCTAAGATCAAATACTGTATTTTTACAGGAATTCGTGTTTGGGGGAAAAGTTTGTTTCATACTTAAAGTTGGCCGATTTGCATGGGACAGACATGAAAATATGTGTCTTATGATAACTTGATTTAAGATCATTTTCTGATACAACGATGTATAAACTTCTGATATACCAGTTCCACCCTCTTGGTCAGGTAGTTTGCCTAGGTTGAGTCAGCCTAGGGATTGGGCCGCATGCCACGCGCCGGATCGTGTGAAATGGGCCTTGACGTATTAAACCACAGACTTATTCTAAATGTTCTCACCTTGTCTCTTCTCCCCTGATACTAGTGGGAATCATGGGACGCGAAAACCTCGTATGTCGTTTACCAGTTTTATACCAATGTTTATTTATGCTTCTTTCTTTATTTCGTTTAATAGTTATTTCATTTACAAACTGTAAAATAAAAACACCTATCCATCGGGGGCGTTTTTACTTGATTACTTAGTATTCCGATAGACAAGTTCCACCAAATAGTTAGGGTATGATACAGTATGTATATTAACATAGCAACATGGTCATAAAATTGCAAACTTTTCTATTACGGTACAAACAATAATTGTTTGTATAAGACACGAGCCTCCTTTCATCATACAAAAAACGATAGTTTCCTCCAAAAACAGTGGTTTTACAGGTTAGTAGTGCAAAACTACACAACTACTAACAAACTATGTCCAAATTATTTACAGTGTTTAAGATTTTACAAGTCTACTACCTACTTTCAATATTCAAAGTCGGTTTTACGGTTGGTGTGGTCGGTCCTAAAGAAAGTAGATGTCAAAATTAATCACAGTTTTTCATATTTCACTAATCTCCTTTCTACTGTAAACTCTCACTTATCCGGACTCCTCAGGCCATACCAATAAACTAGCAATGAATGAATATACTTCTGCAAAACCTGTCTGTCAAACGAGCCTGGAGATACGCGGTATTGGCGTCCCATGATTTCCACTAGTATCAGGGGAGAAGAGACTAGAAGGAAATTCACAAGTGTAGTCCGCTGATTCACTTATAGTTAGTTCTACTCTTAACAGATTTTTTTCTTATAACGAATTTATATTCAATTATAACTGCAATACTGTAATAGCTAATAAGATAATAATAATTAAGCTTGATTTTCTACCCTATTCCTCATAATCTATGGTTTGAAAGTACTGTATTACCATTATCATATTGCAGCCTAACAATTGAAGGGAAGGGCGTTATGTCGTATATGATTGGCCCTCGAAACCCAATTTGAAACACAAGTTTAATGGGATTTTGAATTAAATACATAGATATGGTAGTCGAAATCTGACACATAATCTAAATATATAAAAGGCAAAGCCCTCACTGACACACTCACTCACTCACTCATCACTAATTCTCCCACTTCCCATTTACCTAGGAGGCTGAAATTTGGTACACTGATTCTTTAGGCATTAAATAGGAAAACTAAGCTATTTTAATTCTGATCGGACTCTCGGGCTCCGCCCCAGTGGCTCTGGAGTTTCCCATGTTAACCTTATGAGTACTCATATTTAAATGGAATTAATGAATATTAACAGCTGTTTCAATTAAACAAGTTGGTTCTGTTCTATGATGTGCAATAGCATTTAAGTTACAAGGATTACCAACAGGGTGCAGCACTATTTTTTTTTTTAATTTATGACTACAGCTAATTTGCAACCAAAAGGTGAGTGAGCGTAGCGAACGAACTTCAACCTGGAGGCAAGTTAGCGTAGCAAACGAGCTAACCTGAAGGCAAGTGAGCGCAGCGAACGAGCTCCAACCTAAAGGTGAGTGAGCGTAGCGAACGAACTTCAACCAGGACGTGATTGAGCCATGCGAACGAGCTCCAACCTAAAGGTGAGTGAGGG